GCCGACAAGCCGGAGACGGACGAGGAGCGGCGCCAGCGCGCGGAGAAGCGCAAGCTCGAGCAGAAGCTCGAGGAGGTGTCCGCGAACACGGCCAAGTCGTCGGAGGCGCGCGAGGAGGAGCGGACGCGCATCGTCGGCCAGACCATGGTCCAGGCCTTCAAGGCGCGCCGCGCGTCGACGCTCGCGCCCGTCGAGGAGCAGAAGGCCGACGTCCAGGCGTCCGTCATGTACGCGGCGCCGAAGCCGACGCGCGTCGGCCTCGAGCGCATGTCGTCGAAGCGCCGGCTCTCGGCCGCGGGGGGGTCCGTCCGCGCCGTCAACGTCGCCGCGCTCCGGCAGGCGCCCAAGGTCGCGCCGGACCTCGTCGTCGAGGACAGCAGCGACAGCGACAGCGGCGACGACGACGACGCGCCGCCGCCGGCGTCCCCGGGCTCGACGGGGCCGACGCCGGCGAAGCGGGACCTCGAGGAGGCGTAGTCTTCTTATTTTGGGCTGTGTACCGGGGGTGATGACTGGGGGCTCGGCCTCGGGTTCGCCGATCTATGCGTCGGATAAACCTTTGCCTTGACGCGTCTCTAAACGTAGGGGGCCCGGGAGGAACCGCGGGGGACGGGAGGCTCAGAGGGGTCTCACAGGCGCGGGAGGTGCCAGTGGACGGCGGGGTCCTGGCGCAGGCGCCAGTGCCGCTCGCAGTAGGGTTTGATGTAGGGGCGGACCTTGCCGTGTACCCCACGAACCCCCCTGGATAAGCCTACTGGACCTTGCCGTGTCGAGGAAGGTGAGGCCGCGGAGCCGGAGGCGCGCGTTCTCGCGGGCGCAGACGACGCCCAAGCGCCGGACGAAGCGCTGGAGGCAGACGGCCTCCGCGTGCTCGACGCTGATGAACCTTTGCCACAGTGCGAGGTAACACGCCACGCGCAAGGCTGAGATTTCGAGCATTCTGACTGCTCGACTCCTTATCCACTGCTCCGCGTGCACCGATTGCGACGCGCCCTGCTCCGCGTGCACCGATTGCGACGCGCCGTCCGAGACCCACAAACCTCACACGAAATGCCTCGCCAGACGCCGGGATGCTGCGCATGACCGACGCAAGCGATGAGCGCCGCGCCGCAAACTGCTGGGCGATTCCCGTCCTGATCCTCTCCATCATTCAGATCATCTTCATCGTTATCTTGGACTTCCCCTCTTTTGTCGTGGGTGTCTTCGGCACCGTGACGTCGTCGCTTGTTGTTTGCGGCTGTCTGCCCGCGACCGGAGCGCAGGGTTGCGGCTACACCGCGGCGAAGGTCCTTGGCATCATCACGTCGGTCCTCCAACTCGGCGCTATGATCGCGCACATCTCGTTGTGGGTGATATTTTCGGTGTCGGGCACAGAAGCGATTGGGTGGATCGGGGATCCTCA